ATACATGCATAAGCAATCTTTCTGTTTGAAAACTCTGCACACCTTAAACGGTGCTCAGACTCATTAGTCATCAAGGAAACACGAATTTAAATCCCTAAGGGACTAGCGCGACACACCCACCAGCCTGGGTCAAATGAATGAGGGTGATCATAGCAAGTGTCGGTAAGGATAACGGAGCAACCGGAACGCTCATACATTATTTATGGATGGGTGTGTAAAATGGTTCAGTCGCTTTGGGAAAAATCTCTGTCCATTTCCAAAGATTCTGAAGCTGACCCCAGCCTTCTCCTGTGACCCAGCAATTCCATCCAAGGTAGATGCAAATATCTGGGCACTGAAAGACATATACTAGGATTATCAGTCATAGCAGGAGTCTTCATATCATCTTAGCCACACATATTTGACAAAACTCAAACACCCAGTAAGAGTGGGAAAAGAAACGATGAACTATGCCTATATCATCCCCATCATCAATAAGGACTGTCCCTGACAAGGAGATGAAATGCACAAATACGCTGGGTGAAAGGAGCCAGATTCCAGGAGAACTTACTTTGTGCTTCTCATTTCTGTTAAGTCCACTCTCAGACAAAAGTAGCCTCTGCTGTCTAAAGACCGGCGAGTGGTTACCTTTGAGGAGGGGGGAGGGGGGCTATGTGGAACTTCTTGAGGCTGGAACTATTTCGTTCCTTGATCTTTGTGGATTTTATTTTGTGACAATTCTTCAAGCTGCCCACATACACAGGTGTACTTTCAGGGTGTATGTCGCACTAAAGGAAGTTCACTTAGAAAAACCTTTTTTTATCAGTAATGTGATGGTAGGGAAAAGAATGGCCCCCGGAGATATCCAAAAGGAGCAAGTGGTTAAGAACTCTGCTCCAAATGGAAAGGACGGTGCTTTGAATCTGCCAGCTTCTCCGTGAGTGAAATATATGGATTTTAGCCCAGCAAGGCTCATTTCGTACTCCTGGTCTTCGGCATCCCAAGGTCATAAAATAAGCGTGTTTTTTTGCCACTGTGTGTGTGATAATTTGCTACAGTAGCTATAGAAAACTCACATAAGCAGCGTACTATCGGTATATGAGGGGGCTTCAAAAAGTTCGTGGAAAAAATGGAATGAAAAGGGGTGAGAATTAGGTTTTGTGTTAACTTGGCTGGGCCAGGATTGTCAGTGGTTTGGCAGTTAAGGCCTAGTAACTTCCCAGGAGGTGACCTAACACAAGGTAAGCAACTCCAAAATGGGATCTACTGTGAGCAGCCAATCAATTGTCAGAGCGGAGTGCAACCCGCTTTCTCAGGTCACGGCGCTGGTGCCATTGAAAGGATGAGTTACTGAGGCGTGGCATGGCCTAGTCTAGAAGTGGACACCCTGGAAGAGCTTCCTTGCTTTTCGCTGGGTCTGGATCCTGCAGCTGGCTCATCGACTTCCAGCTCTTTGGGTTTGCCATATTGTCTGCCAGTCCTGGGAGCCAGCAGAGGTTTGCTATCTGATCTGCCAACCTTGGATTTATCCACCTTGGCACCTGCGATATGCCTGCCAATCCCGGGGGTTATGAGCCCCCCGAAAAAGCCTCCAACTGAACATCTGACAAACACACAGTCTCATCTCTATATGTACAGATATATGGTTGGCTCTTTGAGTCAACATCACCTGATCCCATAAAGATGACAGGCATGGAAACTCCATGGGGCAGTTCTCCACCCTGTCCTCCGGGCTCTCTAGGAATAGAAATTGACTTGATTCCTGGTGGCGGTATGGCCACTAGCCAAAAAGTTGTGGCCATACCTGATGCTCCGTGGGAGAAAGGAGGCAGTCTGCCTGGGGAACCCTGTAAGGGAAGTTCTACTCTGCCTTTATAAGTCAAAATTGACTAGCCCGACGGTAGGCTTGATTTTATTTGGAGGTCCTGGGTCTCTGTCTCCCTATCAGTAATCCAGTCACTATGCCCCTCTCAGAGATCTGGTGATGTAGTGGTTATGTAATGAGCTGCTAACTACCAGGTCAGCGGTTCCAAACCACCCATCACACCTTGAGAGAAAAATGAAGCTTTCTACTCCCGTGAAGAGTTACAGACCTGGGAACCCACAGGGACAGTTCTACCTCATACTGTAGGGTTGTCTTGTAGAGTCAGAAACACTCACAGTGAGTTTGAGTCCTTTGGAAGCCCCGTCCCTGAAAGTGTATTTCCCTGTCTTTGGTCATCCACTGTCTAGCCCCATCTCTGGGGGGGGGGTGTGTGGAGGGGTACCTCTGCCCAGCCTTGATCTCCCCGGCACCCCCAGTCCCCAGCGAGGGGGCAGCTCGGACTCACGCACCCCATGGTGGGCCGGTTGGGCGCTCGCACATCCTTGCACACCAGCCGCACGTAGCTGTACTTGAGCACGTCGATGAGCCTGTAGAGCGGGGGCGCACTGGCCCAGGGGCAGCGTGCCAGGCGCATGGAGCTCTTGACGAGGAAGAGCGCCAACCGCTGCTGGCACCACGCATCGAAGAAGCGGCTGAATTCAGCCCAGGAGAAGAAGGCTCGTTCTCGAAGCTCCTGCTCTTCCTGCCCCACTGCTGTGCTGGGCGGGGGCTCCGGCCGCTCCATCCTCTGATGCCTGGGATGAGGGGGGGGGGAGGAGACAAATGGTATCAGATGCACTCCCACCTGGGTACCCCACTTGCCCCTTCATGGCGAGTACCGCTACCCAGATGGGGTCAGGGCTCTCAGATGCTCCCGTTTCCAGATAGGAACCTCCATCTCCTCCTTAAGCCATATGGCCCCCACTAGTCACTTAGCCTTACAGCAGCGGTTCTCATCCTGGGGGTCGCGACCCCTTGGGGGGGGTGTCAAATGCATCCTGCAGATCAGATATTTACATGACGCTTCATAACAGTAGCAACATTGCAGTGATGAAGTAGCAACGAAAATAATGTTATGGTTGGGGGTCACCACCACATGAGGAACCGTATGAAAGGGTCGCTGCATTAGGAAGGTTGAGAACCGCTGTTTTGGAGAAAGATGAGGCTGCGTGCTTCAGTGAAGACTTATACTCTAAGAAACCCTATGGAGCAGTTCGACTCCGTTCTATAGAGTTCTATGAGTCAGAATTGTTGCCTCAATGGTAGTGGATTGGAGGCTTCTTTGGACACACGTGACTCTGCCCCCACAGGATACTTGGAGCGTGTTATCCTGATTCCTAGTCCCGACTGTGGACCGTTCTTCCCTAGATGTGACCCCCCAAGCCCCACTGAGGTGTCTGCTCTCAAAATACCAGGTGTTTCAAAAGCTCATGGAAAATGGAATGGAACGATAATGGAATTTCCCCCCAGTTACCTTTTGAAGGCCCCTTTGTAAGGCACCAGGAGACCTGGTGGTGTCATGCTTATGTGTTGGGCTGCTAACCACAAGGTCAGCAGTTTGAACCCACTGGCTTATCCAGGGAGAAAGACTTGGCTTTCAACTCCTGTTGCACAGAGTTAACCTCCGAAAGTCACAGGATCAGTTCCACTGTGTTCTCTAGGGGAGCTAAAAGTCCGAATTGACTTGCTGGTAGTGAGTTTCCGGTTCTGGCAGGAACCCTGGAGGTGCTGTTGGGTAAGCATTGAACCACTAAGCACAAGGTCATGGTTCAAACCCACCAACCCCCTCGAGTGAGACAGTTGAAGCTTTTGGCTCCTGTAAAGATGTCCAAAGCCTTTGGCACATTATAAAGAGCCACTATGAGTCAGAATCCAATCGATGGCGGCGAGTTTGGGTTTTGTTGGTATGTGCCTTAACTCAGCAGCCAGCAGAGCTTCAAATGCATGATCAGTTTCCGCTGAGGCTTCCTCCTTCCCAGAAGTGTCAACTAGTTGCTTACCAACGCATGAACCTCACTGGCATGTAGTCAAGTGTGACCCATAGCTACCCCATGGGTAGAGTAGGGTAGAACTGCTCCTGTGGATTTGTGAGTCTGTAAATCTTTAAGGGAACAGACAGGCCTATCTGTCACCCTCCAATCGTCTGGTGGGTTTGCGGTTAACAGCCCAAGGATAACCCACTGTGCTACCAGCCTCTTACACACGGCAGTGATTCCCACAGGCCCCGATCCATCTGGCGGCCTCCCCAATGTGTCTCTACTTGGCTGTCGTCCAAGTTGTACCCCGTCCAGCTTGTCCCTTCTCAAGATGCCCCATCTCCTTCTGGGCTTTCCACGACTAATCACCGACCTCCCCCACGCCCACGTGGTTTTCCTCCCTCTTCTTTCCAGATGTGTCTCCAATTTGCTAGCTGCCCCCACACACACCAAGCGTGACGCCTGTGTGACCTCGCACCCAGCTGGGACCCCCTACTCCCTAGAGATGATCTCATTTCCAGGTGTGCCCCGCCCCCAGTTTCTGACCCTTCACTTACAGGTGGGTCTGGCCAATTCTCCCAGAAGTGTCACCCATAGATTCACCCTCCCCAATTCCAGCTGGGATCCTGTCCACCCCTCTTCGGCTGCCATCCTCCTGCGATGTGCATTTCTGTCTGGACATGGCCCCAAATGCAAATAGGCTTCTTCACCCCAGATGAAATGCAAATAGGCTTCTTCACCCCAGATGAAATGCAAATAGGCTTCTTCACCCCAGATCTCTCATCTCCAGCTGCGCCTCCCCCACCCGCTCGCCCCCACCGCTTCCTTCAGCCTTCTTCAGTCCTCTTCTGCCTCCCGATCCCTCCCCGCCCCGCCCTCTGCGGCGCCTCCCGGCTCCGCCGTCCCACCCAGCTGTGCCTCTTCCCTCCTCCAGATGTGCACCCTTCCCGCCCCTCCCCACTCACCTACCCGCCCCGGAGCGGCGTCCGCCTCCCACAATGCCCCGCGCCGAGGCCGTGCCGGGCCCTCGCTCCCGGAATGCCTCGCGCGATCTCCCGCCTCTCTTCCCGCCGTGCCTCGCGCAGCGGCCTCCCCACACCCACCCCGCACCCGGAATCGCTCTTTCCCGCTGGCCACTTCTGCCCACCCCGCACCCGGAATCGCTCTTTCCCGCTGGCCACTTCTTGGACCCGCAGCCCCACCTGCAGGCCACTTCCTAGCGTGCTCTGCACGAGGGCGCGCCTTGCTTCCCTTTCGTTTCGGGCTCCCTCCCCACTCGGGTGACTACAACTCCCAGCATCCTCTACTGGGGACGGCGGCCACAGGCGGAGCGGGTTCTTTCAGGCCCCGCCCCTCGGCTCAGCCCCGCCCCCGGCCGCGAAGTCTGCGCGCGAACGCCGTGGCGCGAATTTGGGACTGCAGTCGCGCGCTAAGCGGATCCGGACAGCGGCGCGCGGAGCGGACACGAGGCAAGTGGAGCCTCCCGCGCGGGGTGATGGGCTTGGGAGCGGCGCGCGTGCGGAACGCTGAGAGGCCATAGTCCCACCGAGGCGGTTCGGAGGAGCGAGCGTGAGGAAGCTGAGGCGGAGAAGCCGGCACGGGCAACAGGGGTGGGGGCTGAGTCCCCAGAGGGGCAGGGCGACTGCATGAGGAGACACGGGCCTACAGGGAGAACGCAGATGAGGGCTGGCGACTACTGGACCCGAGAAGGCCCGAGGACTGGCTGGCAGTGGGGGCGGGGCCCCAGGAAAGGGCGGGGCCATCTAGGGTTAGGGGCGGAGCCAGAATCCTGGTTGGGGAACCCGGGGCAGGGTCTGCGGGTGGGCGGGGCCAAGTGAAGCAGGAAGCGCACGGGGAGAGGCGGGTTCAGCCCGAGGGGGTGGGGCCAGGGGCTGCGGGATGAGCTGCGGTAGCAATGCTTGGCGGCGAGTCCAGACCGCAGCTGGAGGGCCTAGGGAGTTTGATCGGGTCCTCCACCGGGAGAGGAGTGTTGTATGGAGGTTGGCCAGGGAGAGGTCCCTGATAGAGCACAAGACACCAGGTAAAGGCCCTGAGATCCAAACTCAGTAAGCAAAGTATGAACTGGCTTACGTAATTGGCTTTGTTTACTAATCTGTAGTGGATCTGCCTGTAAGTGGCCGCTGCAAGCCAAGGCAGGCCTTATTTAATGGTTGTCTGCGTCCTGAAGGATATATGACGGGCTAGGCAACCTCCTGGGTAGAGGAGAGGTCTGGTGTTGATGCTGGTAAGGGGATGGGGCTAGCCAGGAGGAGTAGAGGTCCAATGGATTCGGCCACTAACAGGTCCCAGCTACCATTACTGAGCATTTTAATAAAAGATTCCATAGGAGCATCCTGATCAAAAGGGGGAGACATGCAGAACAGTATTGCAAAATCTCACGGACTCTAGCCAGGGTGAACCCAGGGTGACTGGATGAACTCTTGAAACTACTGCCCCTCTGAGATCATCGTTAATCCAAAAATACCTGCTGAAATCTCCTTAAAACCAAAAATAGTCATGCTTCACCAGGAAAGAATATTTGCCATGAGCATTGTGCTCTTAAGAATTACCTCAGTGGGAGCAAATTGACAACTGCAACTCAAAAGATTGGATGAGCACCTGTGTACAGATTGGATAAGCACCTGTGTACTTGTATGAGTCCAGGTTGACTAGAGAAACAAATCCAGAGGCCCTCATGTATGTGAGTTTAGTATCAAGTAATTAGGTATCAGGAAAACAGTCCAACTCAGGTACTTACGTTGGATATTAGTCCTTAAGTCCCTCTTCAGACTCACGCAGTCACGAGCAATGATGCAGAATGCAGGAAGATCACAGGCTGGTGGGTGCAGTGTCCTGTGGATCCAGTGGCAGTGGACGCATCCAGGGCCCTGGCAGCAATCAGGGTCAGCCAGTGGGAAGGCGAAGGCAGAGAGAGAAGGGGAGGCTCCCAGGGCCTTCCTGATGACCAGGAGTCACCATCAGGCTATATGACCTGATTGGCAGGCTTAAACTCCACCCCTATCCTTTTATGTGTCTTCAAGTTGACATGAGATGACGTTAACTACCTCCGAACTTTAGGGGGGCGGTGAATTTTACATGAATGCGGGAGGAACTCAGAAAAGGTGGGTAAGGATGGCCACCCAACTGGAAGAACGAGAATCCTTGTCAGTGAATTGTACACAGAGAAGCTATTGAATTGGTATGCTGTACCAGTGGCGTGGGACCCCTGGTGGGGTCATGAGTTTCCAATTGGCCTGGCTGCTGAACTGCAAGGTCAACCGTTCAAAACCACCAACGTCACTCAGGGAGAGAGATGAGGCTTTCTGCATCTACCATGATCTGCAGCTTCCAAAACCCACAGGGGCAGTTCTGCTCTGCCATCTAGGATTGTGGTGTGGGAGTTTTTGTTTGAGTGCATTCTCAACTCCAGCAACAAAACCAAAATTTGAACTTCAATGATAAACCCTTTTTTTTTTTTAAGATAAAACTTTGTGGAGCGCAGTGTGCCTCTGACAATGCACAAAGAAGGTCGCCATCAGTTGCAACCGACTCCATAGTAACTGGTGTTATGAAACAAGGTCCTTTTCTCTTTTCCCCAGATTTGAAACTCATATTTCTGTTGGTGTAAGGCCAGCAATTCACTTCCACCAGCCACTCTCTGGGAGGAAGGGGGCTGTTGATCCCTGTAAGATTTTGCAGCCTCAGAAACACACCAGAGGGGTGGCTGGGAATTGAATCCGCTGGACAGCAGCCGGCGTGGCATTTCCCGTTTTTGTACTCACCAGGAAGCCTCACTACCAAATCATTTCGCGTCCTAAAAAACGGGAGTGGTTCATTGTGGGGTAAACCACACCGCGTCTCACCTTTCTCTTTTTAAAAGAAGCTGACTTAGACCTTTTGATCCACGCGCATGTGGGTTTCAGTTTTTGGAACCACACGCCCAGGAGAACCAGAGGAGGCAGACACGGGCCACTTGTGAC